GAAAACCTGGTGTTTTGTGCTTCCCTTCCTGCCAATCTACTCTTTAAGGCCACAAAGGCCGCTGCCTTAGCTTTCCAGAGCTAGAGAACTAAGAGATCCCACTTTGCTCCTTTGAGTCACCGGAAACTGCAAGACCTAGTGCCAAGCAAACACTTGCTGCTTCAGAGAAAATCCTGCTTCGGGGCAGATGCACACAGTTTGGGAACCTACAGAGGAAAAAGCCCTCTTCCATGCCTGCTGTTTCTCTTCTCTGCTGTCCTGTCTTCACCTCCTCTCAGTCTCCATCTCAGCATCTCCCGCTCTATGTCTTGGGGCCAGTGTTGCCCTGAGCCCTCTGGAATGCACTAGCCACCTGCATGCCAGGGACCTGAGTGCCGTGCCTTGAGTTGCAGGGCTGAGGAGTTTCATTTTGTGCCACACATTCAGACAAGGAATCCGATCCATGAAGCCATTTCCCAACCTGCTCAAGGGTGGCCAGCAGTGTCCCAGTGTAGACATCAGAGCTAGCAATTTGCAATTAAGTGCAAATCTAAAGAGCCAGAAAACAAACATGTGCAGTGCGGTAATCTTCCTGCATAAAGTGCAGTATTGTCAACTTTGGGCTCCAACTGTGGACCCCAAAGAATACACAATCATCAAGGGCTGAGTTCATGCCAGTCCAATTTCTCTGATTCATACTTTCTTACACCAAGACAGTTGATGCAATTGTGAGGTGTCCCAGGTTAGAGACAGCATGGATCATGGGGTTTAGTGGCAGCTACTTTTCCATGCAAGACATTTTCACCCCTGAGGAGGCCTGAGGGTCACCTGAGGCAAGGCAGCTCCCATGCTAGCGAGCCCCAGGACAGGCAGTGTGGCCCAGGACAGAGCAAACAAGCTTGCTGGCTCATCTGTCATGTTCTGAGACTTGAACTCACTGAGCGTCTGGCTGGATCTCAACTCCTGAGGAGCAGATGGACAGCACAGGGGACAAGACTGAGCATCACAAACGGCCTGGGAACAGATGGATGTGGGGACCTGATACATTCACTGCTCTATGCATCTCCTATCTGCATAGTTTATGGGACATGTTTCTGTCCCATAAACTAAGGGCAAAAGTCAAGTACTGGGTTTTAAAATTTTGTGCTTTACATCCATCCATATTGCTGGAGACAAGGCTCTCAAACCCCTGAAGTCAAATGACAGCTTGTGAAAGGGCAATGCTGGGCATCATGGGGTTCAAGTGCCACTTCAGCAGTGAAGGAAAAATGCCTTCCCATCAACTAAATAGAAAAGCCCACCAGGATGTGTATTTTGATTGCTGACCTGAGAGCCAAGAGTGCTCCCCACTGCCCTACAAGGCTTATGTGAACCTGTTCTGAAACACCCTTGGCGTTGTCCCGACGTGCAGAGCATCCGGTATGCCTCCCAATCGAGCCCGAGCATCTTCTCGGCATTTCCTAAAATGATGCCAAATTCACTTTGGGCTTAGGGCTGGAAAGAAGCCCTGGGAGCCTCCATCATAAGCCATGTGCTCTGCATCACTGTACCACACTTGTTCCCCTGAGGTGAAATTTCTGCAAACCACAGTGTGATTTCCATTTAATTGGGCTTCATATCTTTGCCCCTGACTAGGGAAGATCTATAATTGGCAGGGCAGGAAATGGCACTTTCTGGGTTCCTGACTGAAAGGATTTTGGCCCATTTGGGACACAGTAGCTGGTGGAAAGCTTGGAGGTGGAACCAGGGGGCTCTATCTTGAGCTCTATTTCCCTGCCCCTATAAATTTACCTGTGGCACAAAATGAACACCAATGGGCTACCTGCACATCACTAATGCCCCTCAGACACCACCCCAAACCTAAGCTACATATATGCCCCTACTCCATGTATCCCACAGGGAGAATGCCAGCTCCCCTGGAGACAATGCCAGACACCAGTGGGTCGGGGGTCTCTCCCCACATTCTTAAAATAAAGGTTATTTTGTATTTCATACTTCTTATCTTTTTAGCCATGCCACAATTCTATCACTGACCACACAGCACACCTACCAGGCACCACCACAATCTATTAGAGTGCACCAAGCTGGCTCAGCAATGGAGCAGAAGCTTTTGACATTTTGTCATGTAATTCTGGAGTAACTTTCAGTTACTCTGAAGTAAATTTCTTACCATGCATGTATACTTGTTGATCTAAAATAGAAAGCAATTAATGATATTTAATGTTTAGATAAGACACTCAAGCCAGACCACATTCACCTTTTGTGACTCTGAACTGATCCTAGGCTGGCCAGGCGAGGAGGCAGCACTTTGACACTTAGACTCACTGTTTTCTGAGTATTGAATAGGTTTATTACATTCTAATTTCTCCATCATAACCCCAACTTTCTATAGTTTTAAGAAAACATTCGTGTACCAAGGTTGCTAAGGCAAAGAGTACTGTAGCCATGTTCTCTTAGAGTATGTACAGTATTTTGGGGTGTGTGCAGTGTTCTTATGTACACAAAACCTCACCACACCAAACAGTTACCTGTGATAATAGAGCCCATTATATCTCAAAATGATACTCTGTGAATGTTGCAGCAAACTTCTTTAGGTGGCCTTGGATTGTCAGAGACTACTGTGGGTATATTCAAATTTTAGAGAGCTTATATGAGCATTCAGTGATCCCTAAATATACTCACTGTCAGCAGCTTAGCATTCTGCAAAGAGGATCATGAGAGGAAATAAGTGTTATTGGAAAAGGAAAAGAATTCTATTTGACTCGTTAAAGAGGTAAGCACTCACTTTTATATTAGTTGATGCTTTCTGCTTGGTAGAGTCTCTTGTGTTATTGCTTGCTCTGGGCTTTGGTTTGCCATTATGGGAACTCCAAACTCTAAGCCATCTTGGTCTACTAGCATTTCAAAGACACACTGTTATGGAATTTTTTTCCCTAACCAGTTAGTTATAAGACATTGAGCAAACTTTGGAGGCTAGGGAGTTCAAGAGCAATGTTTTAGCTGATTCAGTTTCCACCTTCTAATGAGGTTTCTCTTTCTGGCTTACAACCACTGAGTAGAGCAAGGGAAGAAGGACCCAGCTTGTAAGAGGAAAGAGAAGAGGGAGTGAGACAGAATTAATGATCTCTGTCTTGTCCTCATATTGCAGAGAGAGACAGACCACTCAGGGTTTCCTCCTCTTTCTTATGAGGGCACTAATCTCAATATGATCTTCCAGGGGTTCCATCTCCAAATACCACTACATTGGGGTGAAATCTCCAACAGAGGGATTTGGAGAGAACACAAACTTGCTGTACATTACAATACCTGCCTGGGCATTTAGCTCAGCAGCATAAGCTCCTGCCTTACAAGCACGCAGTTGTCAGTTCGATCCCCGGTACCTATAAAAAAAGTGAAAGCATTACAGTAGCTGCAGAGGCTGGTGAGGTTTGGTTTCTGCTGTGGTAATCACTGGTTTGTGAAGATTTTTGTTTTGTTTTGCTCTCAGTCACCCCTGGTTTTTAAAAAAAGTGTTTTTAAGTTTCTTTCACTTTTCAGGAAGACTTGTGTCAAACTGGTTTTAAACCAGGGACTTTCCACATGTGATATGAATATGATAATCACTACAATACAAAGAATGGTAACCTGATGTTGCCAAGTCTCCTCAATGAAAATATTTCTATTGCTCAGAACAGTCTAATACAAGAAGCCAAACTGCATCCTGAAATTTGGCACAGAAAACAGAATAAGCAACACCATTCCCAGGAAACATCAGTCATCCCTCACTGCTGTGCAGACTTCAGGTTCTGTGCTCACTCGAAAAACCAAGAGCCCAGAGCCCTACTCTCTGAGGGCTGGACAAACATTTGAAGGAATATGTGACTTTAAAGGGTTAGCAGTGCTTGCCATCAATTTAATTGGGGGATCTCAATTCAGAATGAATACTCTGATTTAGATGTATTAGGAGTAGGTTATCTTTAAAAAACACTTATGGAAGCTGTGCCTAGTGGCATACTTCTATAATCCCAGCACTGGGGAAGCTGAGGTAGGAGGATCATTACAAATTTGAGACAAGCCTGGTCTACAAAATGAGCTCAAAACCAGACTGAAACCCCATAGGGAGACCCTGTCTCAAAAAGACCAAAATGAAACAAAACAAAACAACTTACGGTTGAAATATTGACATATGGTATTGGTGTTTTGGTGAAATGCAATTAGGGGAAAAAAATTCCTTTCTCCGTTTTCCTGGGGAATTAAACCGAATAACCCAGAGAGCACATTTTGACCCGAAAGTCATCAGTCTTTAAAAATTAGTAATATTGATCTATGATTCTGCTTCTCTTGTTGAGGAGCTAAGCTTGGGCCTGTCTGAGTCACATACTGGAGCTCAAGGAGGAAATCAGCCTCACACTGACATTGCACCTCTTTGGCTCTCAGTGCCCTCTGCCTGGCCCTGGACACTCAGCAGCTTCATCTGCATGTTGCATCACGATCTGCAGATTCCTGCATCTGTTTGTAAACCGCAACCTGTTCTTTCTCTCCTGGACTCCAAATTCACAGGCCAGTGCGCCTGCCCACCTCATTTAGGAACGTTAAAGCTCAGCAGGTCAGTAGGTGCCTGTCATCATCTCCCAGCACCCTCTACCTCCACACGCAGCTCAGCATCTTCAGGAACAGGACACTGATCTCAGTAGTTCTGCCAGTCACTCTGATCCGTGTGTGTGTGTGTGTGTGTGTGTGTGTGTGTGCGCACGCGCGTGCGTGCGCTTGTGTGTCTTGTTGCTGGTGTGCTAAAAACAGAATTGAGAAGTTGTTTGTCCCTGAACCATGCCCACACAAAGGCTGAGGAAAGCTCTCACTTTTCAGAGGAGAAAAAAGCAAAACCTTGTTTTGACCTGGAAAAGTGGGCCCCTTTGACCTGTTTGTTAGGGGAACCTGATGACCTCTACCCTAGGGAAGCCTCCAGGTTACCTTGGGTAACAGCATTGAAGACACCATTCACTTTCTGGTTGAGGCAAGAGAGGGCCAGTGGATAGGGTGGGACGGGAACCAAAACCTCGACTCTCTTGTTTCCGCCTGATTTCTAAGAGGGCACCTTTCGCGCGTTCCGGAACCTAATGACCGCTACACTGCGGAAACCACCCTGAGGCACCGAGGCGTCTTCCGCAAGGTCTGCTGTGCTCTATCCTCTGTCGGTGTCCAACACAGGAGACTGCGTTCTAAAATTTTATGGGGTGGGGAGTCTCGGGAAGCTGAGAGGCAGGAGGCAAGGAGACTGCGGCTCGCGATGTGCTGCGGCCGCGGCCGAGCAGGGCGAATGCCCTGGGCCCAGGCTCCGGCTTCGGGACCCGGCCCCTCCCGCAGGGTTTCGGGTCCGGAGCGCAGCGCCCCGCTGTACGGGGCTCCGGGCTGACGCCGTGGCTGCCAGAGGCCGTGCAGGAGCCACGGGTTTGGGGCGCTGAGACCCTGGCTCCCCTGCCTGTCAGGTTTGGGCCCCGGGCCACTCTTCCTCCATGGCCCCGCCCCCCGCGCCTCTGCCTCGCCCTCCTCAGGCCAGGTCGCTGGAGTTTCTCTGCTCTAAAATACCTAGAACCAGCCCCAGCAGTGCCTTCCTTGGGCGATCCTTGCTGCCTTCCTTTGCAGACCAGGCCAGGAGGTTAAAGATACAGGAACAACTGAGTCGGATTTCCCAATGATCTAGTCTACTCCTGGGATTTTGAGAGTCCTTCTCAAAGGACAGCTTTTGTTTTATCCTTTACAATGCTCCACTCGTCTTTTATTTGCTTTTTAAACTTTATTCAATGGGTCCTGACTTTGACACCTCTCCCCACCTCCATTCCAGGATTGAACCCAAGGCCTTTGCACTAAACTGTATTCTCGGGCCTTTTTAGTTTTTGAGACTGAAAAACTCTCTAAATTTCTCAGAGCGGGTCTTAGCCAGTTTCCTGCCTCAGCCTCCCAGAGTCCAGGGTGGTTAGAGGTGTGTACCACTGCTGAGAGTTTAGGAGTCAGAAGTTAGTCTAGGGTAGATACAGTGGTAAAGGTGGTTTTCATCAAAAGCTCGTGTCAGGGTCAGTTGTCAGGGTCATCTCACAACAGGAAGAAAGCCATCCATCTCCTCCTGGATCCCTTTGCAGTAAATGTTAAGACTTCGAAGAATGTTCTGTTTTTTGCTAACCCAGTGTCCTTTGCCCAAGAAGTTCACATTCTCCCCAACCTGAGAGCTCACAATTGGTAGCTTATTTTACAATTGGGTGACCTGACTGACACATGAAGTACTTTATTTGGGATGTGAAAGTCCTGGGCCTTTGCTTCCAGGGAAAGACAATGGCCCCTAAGTAAGGGTCTGTGAGCTGCTTAGGACTCATTTGGCTGAGGCATTGTTTTTAGTTTTTTCTGAAGACATTGCTCATGGTATACAATGCAGTCCAATCATGTACTTAACAATCGTTTTTGAATGAAACCCTGAGTTTTCTACTAGTTTAGCTGCTAGCTAATGTTCTCAGCCACCCCACAGGGCCCAGAAAGAAGAGCACCAGGATGAGCCTTTTTAGGGCATCCTGACACCTACCACGTGTGAAAGTGTGAGAGTTTAAAAAACCTTGAAGGGACAGGAAGCTCAGAAATCACATGCCCAGAGGTCACACACGGGTCAGAGAGGTCAAGGACTGGCATCTCGGTTAGGGTTTCAGGGAATTTGCCTTTATGGGATCCAGGGAATTATACAAACAGATTTCTCTTGAGAGGACTTTAATTGGTGGATTTTAAGCAAGCAGGCACAAATTTCAAGAGGTCATTCTATGACTGAGATGTAGTTGCTTTAAGTTCCTAGGAAATGTCTGGTTCATATAAAATAAGCAGTGGGAAAAGCAAAGCCTGCAGTTGGGAGAGCTGTCTCAAAAGTTTTATCTCTGGCTACCACTGGAGCCACTAGAGTGAGTTTTGTTAGAGTTTTCTGGTGCAATAGAGAAGCAGAAGAAAGAAGAGCATGAAAGAGGCTATTTATTTGAGGACATGGAGAGAGGAGAAGAGCCCATAACTGCAGGGGTTTTGCTTTCTCCTTCTGGCAGGATACAGAGGGTCAGAGGATTAGATGACCTCTGGTCAGAAGTGGCACATGGATCTGGCATTGATGCCTTGTGAGGAACTGATTTACATTTTCTTGGTGTACAAAGGGGAAACAGTTTTGGGTTGCAGGGGAAGAAGGAAGGAGTGGTCATCAGGGCAAGTGTTTTTACTTTGGCCTTCTGCCATGTTAGACCATTGCCATAACTGTAAAATAATTTGTATCAGGGCAAGAACCTTTGAGGTATGGTACCAGAAACTATTGAGAGTGACTGCCCTGATTTTGTAATGATAAAGCTACATTATATCTTAAGATGGATGTTAAGGCAACATAAAATTCTAAGCACTCAGGCTGAGAATTACTTCAGTGGTTGAAGTACTTTTTCTTTGCCTGGTAAGCGCAAGATTGTGAGTTCAGTCTCCAATTCCCACAAGTAGATAGATAGATAGATAAATAAATAAATAAAATTCAAATCAGTCTACCCTTGTCCTAAATTTGTGCACACTGCAAATCACTGTGGGTGCTTTGTGAAGAATCGTTGGCTCTCGTGTGAAAAATATTCAGAAACTGAGTATGTCATTGGACAGGGTTCTAGAATCTTTCTAGACCCATCATATTAGATAAAGTAATTTTCAGATTCACTGACTCCTTTCAACACTAAAGTATCTGCCGATGTTTCATTTTTTAAAATTTTAATAAAAAACTTAGATTGTCCAGACACAGTGGGGCATCAATAATCTCACAGTGGGGCCTATAGTCTCAGGGCTGGCATACCTGAGGCACAAGGACTGCGCTGAGTTTGAGACCAACATGGCTATATAGTGAGTTTGAGTGCAGCCTGGACTATCTAAGGAAACCTCATCTCAAAAGAAAAGAAAAAGGAAGAAAGAAAGAAAACCTGTTTATAAGTTAGGCAGAGGAACAGACTAGCAAAAATAACTAAGAAGAGAATAATTAGAAGAAATACTACAACAAAAAGTATTTCAAATGTATAAATTGCTTATCTTGGGAATTTGCTATTTTTCAGGTTCGAGTTGCTTATGGGTGACTAAAACTGAAAAAAGTGAAACCGTGGATAAGGGGACTTCCACAAAGTAAGGCAAAGGTCATCACTTAGTCATCCATGAGACCTCAGTGGTTCATCCAGTGCAGCATTGAAGATCTGATATTGCTCATCCCCCAAGCACTCTAAGAGCTATCAGAATGTGGATATCTGCCTTCCCTACTTTCACTCAGTGTGGAAACCATGTGGGTACAGAATCTGAAGTGACCATACATCTATTTCATAAGAATGAAATACCTTCATCTCTTTCTTTTTTAATGATGTTCAGTTCTCATCCTATGATCATGGAAGTGTGCCAAGAGACTATCAGCTAATAGAAGATGATCTACAATATATCTCATATATTTATGATCTTAGTGTGTTACTAATGAAAAGAGTGCAAGGATACACACCCATAATTGTGAGACAAGTGAAAGTACAGAGAACAGAAATACCAAGACAGTTATTTGGGAACGGAGAAGACAGTTATTTGTGAAGCAACCAGAGTTCAAAGGGCAGAGCAGATAGAGATTGGAAGAGCTGGCAAGATGGCAGCTGTGTGATTCTGGATGCACCAAGAGGGCAATGTTGAGAAAGATTAATTATACAAAGACTTCACTAGGTAAACTGCACATATGAAAGGAATTAGAAAGAACAGAGATCCTTCAGGCCATGGAGCAAATTTGACTGTGAATGAGGAAGAAAGGGAGAGAAGATTGAGTGGAAACATCTAAAACTTCTGGCCATGGAAGAACCATTTGGAATCACTGGGGCAAAATCAGCCAACAGAGTCTCAAGTGTCCCTGGAACAAGTCTACCTAAGCCTCTTCATTGCACTTAGGTATTGGCAGTAAGCAGCTCTTGGGCCTCAGAGGTGATTTTAAAGCATAGAGCCTGGGGTCACATCACTTAAGTTCCATATAGTAGTAGAAAGATCTATAAGATAAATTAACCCAGCTCTCACATTTGCTTAACCAAGAATAGATGGAAGAATTCATCAGAATGCAAGCTATTGGCATGTACAGGGATCAGAAAAAAGAGCAAATGTAGAAATGAGCTCTAAGGGGCAGTAAAGAATAAGCGGATTCAGTTGCCACAGGTCTTATTTTTATGCCTTGGACTAGAAGAGTTCAGTTTCATGCTGATCTCCTGAGGGAAGGCATCTTGTGGACAGCATCTCATTTAAAAATAATAACTATTCTTTATCTGATAAATATGGCAGGCTTCCTGCTTAAGCTTGCATGGTAGGTGAGCATACTGGCAGTGGCTGAGACAGAAGGGATGGCTCAGATTATGGAAGCCCATGTGACTAAAACACTAGAGGAAACAGAAGGCATCATCAAACACTAAAACCTCTTCTGAAAATAGAAGGTAAATATATAAACAAATGGGGTTGCTAAGAACCATGTCTACCCTATTTGTAAAGCCACGGGAGATTGCATTGAGAAGGAATACTGAGAAGCGAAGCAAAGACCTCACTGTGCTTTCCTGAGAACACTAGGTTGAGTCCAAAAGAATTGGAAAATGCAAAAAATCTGCTGAACATCAGCTGAAATAATAATGTGTGTTCTTAAAACCCAAGACATAAGCACTGTCTCAGTTACTGTGGTAGACTGACAACTGCTGGTCAGTCTGGAACACCCCACTGAACTGAATTGTGGCGTTGGTGTGGATGGCCCCCTCAGGATTGCTGCCATCAACATAAATAGGAGAACTGGAGAGGAGGAAGTGTGATGTTGCTGGTTCTCCTGTTGTGGTTGGTTTTTCTGGAAGAGCTTGTTGAACTTCTTTCCTGATATGAACTTGGCTGTTCTCATTGCCAGAGGAGCTCAGAACCTTGTTATCGCTGAGAATGGCTTCAGTTCACTTGCGGGGAGCTCTGCTCCTCACTCTGAGCATCACTTCCTGGCTCCAGTGCAGAACCCTTAACCTACTGGCACAGATCCTTCACCCTAGAGGCACAGACTTTGTAGTTTCCACTGCTAACTTTTGGGCCTTGTCAGCACATATCTGTGAAACAGATTTGCATGTGGCACTGTCATGGGCTCTAGGACTCCAGATGGACTTGTGAGGGGGCATTGTCGTGGGCTCCAGGTCTTCAGCTGGACTCATGCAGGATATTGCCATGGGATCCAGGGCCTTAGCTGGATATTTTGGATCTTCAGTGTGTGGACAGATTTCCTGAACTTTTTGTGTTTGATTCCTTGGTTGACTACTATAAAATAATCAAGATCCCAGAAATTCAACACAAGAACAGAATATTAAAAGCTGTTAGCGAAAAGAAACATCTATTAAGGAAAGCCTATCAGCATCACCACAGACTTCTCAACATATACAGTTAAATCAAGAAGAGCTTGGAGTGAATATTTTGAGTCCTGAAAGGAAACACCTTCCAACCCAGATTGATGTATCATGCAAAACTATCTTTCAAAATTAATGGAGAAACAAGATACTTCCATGACAAAAAACTGAAGGAATTCATGACCACCAAACTAATCCTGTAAATAATGCTGAAGGACATTCTAGAGAGAGATAAAAATAGACCATGTTTCCAGGAACAGGGAAGACAGTAGAATGGAGGGGAAAATTAGGCAGTGAATAGCAGAAAAGTAACATGGCAGAGACGAACCAGTGCATATTGGCCATAATTCTCCAATGAAAACAAACACAGGCAGTGTGGATCAGGAGACAAGATCCATCAATTTGCTTCACACAAGAAATGCATTTGACTTGAAAGGGGTTCATAAACTGAAAGTCAAATGGGAGAGAACAATACTCTCTGGGACAGGGACCTGGAAGAAATGGAGGTAGCTTGCCCATCGGCTGCAGACTGCATAAGAAAGCCATGGCACTTTTATACAGTGGAAAGCTACTGAGCTATAAAGACAGATAACCTTGAGGCTCTTTGTAAGTAAATGGATACAACTTGAGATCATGCTCATGAATGAAATGGTTCAGAGTCACATGGGTGAATATCGTGTTGTCTCCCTAGTATGAAGAACTAGAGGAGTTGGTGGGATCCAAAATGCACAGTACATACTGTGAAAGTGAACAGGGAAGAAGTACCTAAAGAAAGAACTCAGCAGTCATTCTGAATCTATTATGGTGATTTGAAACCCATATTTTTCTCATTGTTCTATTTAGTTTGGTATTTTTCTGTTTTGGTTTGTCTAATCTTATTGTATTTAATGATATGGACAGCTATTTCAAAGATAACAAAATATAGTAGCTATTATTGATTTCCTATTAGCATGTTTGGAAGCTCAGTATAGCTTTCATTGTTTTGTTTTGACTGCTTTTATTGTATTTTGTTTTGATTTTATCATGTCTGATGGTATAGGCAACTACTTTGAAGATAAGTTGCAGTGTGGTACCCACTATGGTTTCCCTATTATTTTGTTTTGAAGTCCTGTACTGCTTCCATTGTTTTTTTTTTTCTTCTTCTGTACTCTTTTGTTGTATTTTATTATGCCTGATGTTATGGGCAATTCTTTTGATGATACCAAGAGGCATTACAATAACCATTATTGATTTTCTTGTATTTTGTTTTAAAATCATGTACCATGTTCATTGCTTTGTTTTGATTGGCTCCATTTTGCTTTATTTCATTTGGTTTTACTCTCTTCAATTGAAAATAATGTGAAAAAACCAGGAACTGAACCTTAAGAGCATCTTTCTGCTCCTTTTATCCTTTAATGGACTGACCCAGCAATCACACACCCTTAATCCCAGCACCTTTTTTCCTAGCATTGTACCTCCTATCAATCATACACTCTCGACTCAGCCACCTCCAAAATACTCTATGACCCCATGAGGTTTGGCATGGCAAGGTATCCAGACACAAACCATAACTACATTGTGTATGCATGCCATTATTGGATCAATGATTTTTATATTGTTTGACATCCTGTAAACTTAATACTCCCAGTAATCATATGAAGTAAATTTTATTATAGGTTGAGAAATTTCACCTGTTTAAATACTTGAGACTCTAACCTGCTTGTATAAAGCAAAAGCAAAATAAATTGTAGATGATAAATAAAAAAAGAAAAAATACCCCAAAATTAAGGCAGTAAAAAATAGGAAACCCATAACCTACTGTAGACTGATGTAAAAAAAATAGGGAAGTATTGTAGTAGAGTCCTACATGCTACTTGAGTCTTTGGAGTCAGATATTTTTAAGATGCCAGAATTTGCTGTTGTTTTAGGAAAACAATACAGAGCACAGTCTCAGTATTACAGAAATTCCTGGATAAGTACTAGGGCTATTTCCAGGCATCCAATGTATTGGGATCTGTAAACATAGGCCCTGCTGCTTTGCCCTAGCCACTTCTAGCTCATAAAAGGGGGACCACATGACTTGAAGTGGTTATCTGGAAGGACAGACATTCTCCTTGGACTACAGATTTTCCTGTTGCCTCCCCTTCTAGTTCTATGAAAGCTCCTGAGGGTAGAGTCACCTTGTTTCGCCCTACTTTCAAACCGAGCTCTTAATGCTGGGGTAGAGAGGATTGCAAGGTCTTCCTAGGAACTCTGTTTCCTTGGAGAGCTATAATTAGTCAGGTTGTGCAGGGAGATAATGGCACAATTTCTCAACATTGCAGTGCAGACAGCTGAGACAAATCTAGTCACACCTATACTGAAACTGAGATCTAAGGCAAAGGTGGAGGACAGGACCACTTCTGGTATCTGTGTTTGAGCTAGCCAATTATAGCCACATCATGACCCCAGGAAGTACCTGCACTTCTCTGAACCAAGTGAAAAAGAGTGATGTCTGAATCCCAGGCAATAGAGCTTAATGCACAGGGATATCCACGGAACGTTGGAGAGTGGTGCAGGAGCTGGGGACATTAAAGATGGCATAAAAAGCTAGGCAATGAAACTTTCAAAATCTAAGACTTGTAGGATTTAAAGTCTCATAGAAACCCTACAGTTGTGTTGTTCCTCTACTAGGATAATGTCAAATGGGAAAGAGAAATCCTTCTTTATTTTTCAAGAAAGACAGAGATGATAGAAACTAATTCTGTTTTCTGGGACCATCACTCCAGATGCCACACCTCAGTGCCAGTGATGCATGGACTGCAAGTAAGGGAAAAGTGTCTTTGCCCTTCTGCCATTTCTCAAGGCAGGGATGAGTTGAACGATGTGCCCCTGGATAGCTGAGTTCAAGAATAAACATAAAACTCCCATTGAACCCTTGGAATAGGTCTAGAACAGGTGAAAGATCAGAAGAGTAATAGTTGTGAAATCTTGCTCCAGTTTGGGACAGGGACAGGGACAGAAAGAGTGGAGAAAGCGGGAAAGTTCTTGCTCTCAAAGATAGGAACTGAGGTGTGAGAGAGGTGAGCACCTTCCCTATTTCACATCTGACTGTTCATACTGTGGAAGGCAGTAAATAGGGCCTGCATTTCCAAGGCGGGTACAATTGAAGCAAATACTACTTCAAGCTGGATGATCTTTGATGAGAACCTCAATATCGCTGGTCCTTAGTGTTCTCTACTGAAAAATTAAAACACTACCACCTTAGGAGGAGACCACTGTTCCAGTGATTCAGGGTCAAAAAACATTTATGATGGCCAAAAATGCAAGCATAATATGTGCTTTAAAAATTCCTGTTTTCTGTTGGGCGCCATAACTGTAGGGGAAGTATTTTGTTGCTTTGCTTCTCTGGGTGAAATGAGAAATAGGAATAGTACCAGGTCAAACCATTACATATGCCTAAAGCGTCAGTTCAGAGAAAAAGGTCAGAGGTTGTCAGGACCTATAGATGTTTCTTTGTATGTCCACATAAAGTTTGATTTGCAGAGTTGCCTGACAATTGAAATACTATTCCCATGAAGGAAATTAATGAGAAAGCTGAGCAGAGGAAAATGAAGGTTTTGTTTGTGTTATGGATTAAGAGCTGGTGGTCAACTTAACGCCAGCAGGATTACATCAGCATGGCATTGGGCAAAGATGCTCCACTTGAGGAAAGTTGCCAGGATAAATAGGTGGAGAAAAAGGGAGGTGTAGATGGTTGAGGTATAAGGAGGCATTGTGGGTTCTCCTATGAGTTGCTGTCTGAGCTGTTGGTTCTCCTGGAGTAGCCTTGGTCCTCACATCAAACATTGCTTCCTGGCTCCGGAGGGGAAGACATGTGCTGCTTGGTCTCCAGGGTGAGCTCGTCATGCTGCTTCCTAGCATGTACCCTACTGTGCTTGTCGTCAGCGGAGCTTGGGGCATTCGTGTTGCTGAGGACGGCTGTGATGCCTTTCAGTATAGCCCTGGTCTTTGTTGTGAGTGTGACTTCTCAGCTCTAGCATAGAACCCTCATCCCACTAGCACAGCTCCTTCATCCTGCTGGCATAGACGTTCTGGCTTCCACCACTGACCCTTAGGTCCTCACGGCACGGATCTGTAAAAGAGACTGGTGTGAGTCCTTTTTGTGGGCTCTGGACCTCCAGTTCAACTTGTGGAGGCATTGTCCTGAGCTCTTCATTTTTGTCTGGACTCATGTGGGACATTGCTCTGGGGTTTAGGCTCTTGACTAAATAATCTATGTCTTTGGTGTTGCGGATAGATTTCCTGCATTTTCCTGTGTTAACTTCCAGTGACCATTATAAAAATATTATAAACTCCATGTCCTAATCCTAATTGTTCTCTGTGTACAACCCCTGGCTACAAACAGTTTGAAACTTTTCCCCCTATTGTCGAGAGTGTCATGGCCTATGACCTCTGGATAAAAAAAAAAAAACTACCTGAGACCCTTGGAACCTTGCCTGGCAGGCACCAAAAATAATTATGAATAATTATGAAAGCTGAAAGGAGCCAAACACTGTGTCCACTTCTAAAACATAAACAGAAAAACTTCCCATTTGTCATAGAAATACTTAATTTATCTTATTTTTCTAATTTATATAAATGACCAGTGATGTCCACAAATCAATTTGAGAAGTGTATCTTTTGAATTTTGAGGGACCTATTTTTGTCTACATTTCAAGGAAATAAAAATGATACCTATTTCTCAGAAAAAAATTTATATTATACAATGAAATAATTCCTTCAAACTACTGAGCACTGTGAGGGAACTAATTATATAAAGTAACATCATTTAAAGTGGAAAAGAAGCAATGGTCTCTATTGAAAATGTTTATTACCAAAGGAAAACAAAGGAAATAATTAGCACGCTTAGGTATTTAGAGGGGACTCATTGCTGAAAATCTGAGTAAATCTGTGAAATTTTTGGTTTCTCAGGACCTTTTTTAGTTTCTCAGGACCTATTCAGAACATACTGCTTGTGTTGTCATTGAATTTTATCCTATTTAAAATATTCATTTTATTAAGAAATCATCTCTAGTTGATATACTATATATCGTTATCTTGTAATATATCAACTAGCACTCTTAATGGTTTTTTTGAAATACTGTACATTTCTACATTTTTTCTGTTTTGTTTTTTTGAAATAAATTCATTTTATTTTAAAGAAGGTAAAACAAAACATTATAAAACAGAAGAAAGAAGATCAGAAGAAATCAATGTAAGTGACAGGATTTCAAAGCAAGACAACAGGAGATCAACAGTGGCTACCATAATGCCTTTTATTTTCTTCTAAATAATAGTCTATATCATCACACACAATGAATTAGTACAAAACAAAATAGTATAAAACTGGTCAGAATAGGATAATGAAAGCATTAGAGGCATTCAAAACCAGATGGAAAATCAACAATGGCTACTGTAATGTTTCTTATTCTCTTCAAAATAGCTGTTCAAATCTTCATATTTGTTGAAGTTTTAAAAATTCATTTTAAAGTCTCTTTTTTGGCCATTTTTTTTAAAAGAAAGAACTAACTTTGAGTTGTGGAAATTATTTCAATGATTTTTAAATCTTAGTTTAAGGAGTTATCAGATGCCTCTATTTCATTCTCTGGAGAACCCTAATTAATATTAACCACATATAAATTAATATGTCATCTTATTGTAATGATATAAATATCTTTTTCTTCTTTCTTCAGTCTGATTTGGATAACTGCAAAATCATTTTATGTGGGGAGTGGCTGAGCCAGGGCTGAGCTTAAGGTAGGCAAACTCCTTGGAAGTAAAACAAGGCCGGTCCAGTAGGTGTCTGGGCTTGGTGTTCTTCTCTATTAACCATAGCACAGATAGCTCTGAGAACACTTCCAGTGTTCTCAGCAAAACACTGGGACCTTGAACTTTGGGCCTCACTGGGTGCTGCTTCTTTTTTGACTGTGTATAAATAAAGACACAGACTGTGCTGGGTTGTCACTGCCTCTCCATCAGAGAGGTCAGGTCCCTCACAGTCCCAGAGTTCTTTTAGTGTGTGTTTAGAGTTTTTCTTACTCTCCCAACACCCTCACTCAGGACCTGGCTGGTTACACAGGTCATGACAATTCTATCATTTAGGGACTCTGTATACTAAGATAGCAGATCAATGGACACCAGGAATCAGTTTTCTTCCTGTTCGAGGATTGCTTTTAGGTAGAATAATTTATCGAAGTAAGAGCTCTTAAGGGAGAATCATTGTGTATAGAGATCATTTTGTTAGACATTCCACTTCTGCAGAAACTGACACCTACTAGGCCTACAGGATTTCATCTATTATTAAACAAATAAAATCACTTTTTAAGACTGCATTGTTAAACATCAGAAAATACCGAAACATTTAGATCAAATAGACAGTCAAACAAAGATGCATAGACTAACTTAATGGTCATGTACTTGAAGCATCAGGTGGATCCCTGTTGACTACTCCTCAATAGAAATCATCTCCCAATGTTCATTTAATAGCATCAAAACCAGAATTGCACTTTGATGCCACTGATGAGAGAAAGTAATTGACAGTGTATTAATGAGGGATAAAAGAAGGCTTCCACTTAAGTCAGGAGAGCAGCACTTCCTTTATTAGGACATCACAGATGTATACAATTTTGTGCTAGCAAGAATAGAAAGAAATAGGTTATTTGAGTTGAAAACTAAGTAGGAACATAAAGTGATACCCCTCCTATGGAAGGCAAATTTACAGGGTTTATCACTTAAATTAAAAAAAGGAACCATGATGATATGGCAGGAGCACTTCCAGGGCTCCATTCTATAAAAATGCTTGTACAGATAGCAAAAGATCTTGTAGGACAACGATAACTGCAGCATTACTTGAAATTATAAAGTCATGGAACCAAATTGATTTCAACAAAACACATAAAGGTTAGATAATAGTACAACAAAAGAAGAAACACCTTTGTTAAAAATAATTCAGAAGATAATAAGGATCCTGACTCTTACTACTAACAGTAGAGATGGAGGAATTACTAAAACTAGGCCCAGCCTCTAGGTATTACTGCTTACATACTACTAATGATACCTTCATATCCTAAAGTCGTGCTTAGATTACACTGCCTTTTCCCATTCCCTGTTTCAAGGACTTCCTTATCTCCTCCACTACCTTTTTTCCCTTGGACTTTCATGGCAGTAATGGTTGGGGGTTGGGGGGAAACAAGTAACCAATAGATCATGTGAGCTGTTTAAGAAAGATATGTTTTTTAGATCTAATCTTTGAGGAAGTGACCAAACTCCTTGCCCTCCCTGGGTGGGTTCAAATCAGCAATTTTTCCATTAGCAGCCAAATGTTCAAACCAATTGTCCTACAGGGCACTGCTGCCAGCTCCTTATCATTCTAATGGCCAGTAAACTCTCACTAAATGCTAGCCAGTACCATCATCTTTTGCAAGGCAACTGGACAAACTCGAAATCCTTGAAAATTTAACCTGAGCAATTACAGCGACAGTTGAGCTGTTGGTCCCATTTGAAATTCCTACATGGAGTGATAGGTAAATATCTTGACCTTTGTCTCAGAACCCAGACACCCCACAGACACCTGGTCCCAGACCCACATTTGAGTGAGAAGTGACTAAGGGAAGCTGAATGCCCAGGATGCTAGGTTAGGATGTGCTGAAATAGTACATTTTAGAGGCTACACTACTCAGACCTTGTATAAACAGAAAGAACTCTAAAGAGGCCCAATCTGCAATCCCTTGTCTACAATGAACAACCCAGGACGCTAGCCTCCTGTAAATCAGACTTGTAGGAAGTCAGACTGTTATATGTAATAAAAAAAGACACAGATAGATAGATTCAGGAAAGTTAGCAACTTCCCTAACAAGCAACTCAAAATAGCCAGAACTTGATCAATAACTGACACCACACCCTTCGTCCTCCTTGCCATTTAGGAACAACCAGGGAATGCCAACTGTGCACCTCTAACTAAAGGCATGGAATACCCCACGTTGTTTACGAGTAGTGGGGGTTGAGTGCAGAATTAGCTCAACTATAGGGTCCTCACTGAACAGCATTTAACAAGGCACATCTGAAGCCTCCTGTTTTTCTATTAGAAAGCTTTCCTGCTTCCATCTGCATTACTCTGTCAAATGCAAGCGCAGGTGCCTACTTCCTCATCATCAAGCCCAGAATAAATTGTTTTGTTTTTCTGACCTAGCTCCTCTTCCTTTATTTCCATGCTTTGCCAACTTTATTAAGCTACTCCTTTGGAGAATTTGTAGTGGAAAATACTGTGGATGAAAGGGTTTATTTTTGAAATTATTTTGGTATACACATAGGAAACACTTTAAAAGGGGGAAGAGAAAAAAGAAAAGAGAACCATAAAGGCAAATTTTCACCTCATGAGCTTCTCCAGCCCATAAAAAGCCAAGAAGAAAAATGCCCTTCCAAAGTGATCAGTCATCCACAAAGATGTTGTTAAATAGGGATGTGGATCAATTTCACAAAGAAGCCCATGAATTCCTTGATAAATCCTGTTACTGTTACCTTGGCAATGTTCTGCAATTCTTTTCTGTCTGATTTGGTGCATTTTAATCAGCCGAATGGAGTCCTTCACAAGCTGCAGACTTGGTTCAACAAACTGCAATACCTGATCCATGATTGCCTGTTTGCCACTATAGGGACATGTAGCCGATAAAAGGTTTTGTGAAGAGGAAATCAATCTTACAAAGATTTTATTCTCCCCAATCCCACCATCCCCCCCGCCCCCACATCCATTGGGACGGGTCCCAGAGGGCACTGCACCCTCAGGCGCCACGTTCTTTGGAACAGGTCACAGAGGGCACTGCACCCTCAGGCGCCACGTCCTTTGGGACAGGTCATAGAGGGCACTGCACCCTAAGGCGGAGTGGCAGCTCTGGGCGCTCAGCCAGACTGCGATCCAGGGCTCTGCGTGGTTCCCCCTGGAGCAGGAGGAAGCAGGGCCGAACTGTAACCGGGAGGATAAAGGAACAGAAGCCAGGTTGAATTTAGGACCAGCCAAGGCGATCCACTCGGAAACGCGCAGACGCACTTGGCTGTGTATCCTGAGGATTGAGAATTGTTTTATGAAAGAAAAACGCAAAAACTTTAGCCAGCCCGAAAACAAAGCAGGTAAATATTGAGTATATTTTCACGTAAAAATATTAAAGGAAACACTCCCTTGTCATCAGGGTTAAGGCACGTTTTAGTCATGAGTACGCTGCTGGTTTGTTTCTTGCCAAGATTTGGTGAGTTTTAGTTTTTTTTAAACCTTGCATTCATTGTGCCCTTTCTGTGGTTGGGCAGCAAAATTTTGCCCTGGCTACCCACAGTGAGGTCAGGCGGAAATCCGCAGAGCACCACCTAGCGTCGAGTCTCAGAAACTTCAGACCGACCAACAGACCCCCATTGACGGGCATGCGCAGTAATCACCTGCTAAGATACCAGGCCTACATTCCAGGAGCTTCCACTATTGTGATGGGGTAATAACTGTAAGCACTGTTTACTGGAGGTGAACCAGTTGGGAGCTTTTTTATAAGCTTAGTGGGGAATTTTACAGTGACGTCTAGTAGGAGAAAGCCTACATGCAATAAAACTAAACCTAGTGCTGTCCTTCAACCCATCCCTTTCCAATTTTTGTTTCATTAGTACTTCTTTGGTTTGACACCAGGTCTCACTATGCAGTTCAGATTGGCTGCGAACTCCTGGCAATCCTCTTGCCTCAGTCTCTGAAGTGCTGGGATTATAGGCATGCATGGTTGACACTGGTATATTATTAACGCATAATTCTCATTCAGTGCACAGGGATGAATTTTGACAAGTGTCACTGATATAGTCTCCCAACCTACTATATGTCCAGTATGAATTTGTGTTCTCTAAAATGGAAGAATGAGTTTTAGGAACAACAGAGGTTAAGAGCAGAATATATTTATGGACAGAAACAAAGCTTCTGACTGAGAGATAGAAGGAGTCCTGAGCGGGTTGCCAAGACCCTGTCTTTTCCAGGGACTTTTATAGAGGAAAATCATGAGGTTAGATGGGTCAAAGGTGACAGAAATGGGAATTTTCAAGGTGGGACATAAGGCAGGACAGAACTGTGTTCAACCAATAAGATTAGTTACTATGATAAAATGATTAAACTAGGAGCAAATGGGGGAGCAAGTCACATAGTACTCTTTGTCACATTGGTTTGGTGATCATAAATTTCTTCAGTTGTTCTTTTTCATGGAAGCACCTTCTTTTCTCCATCAATTTCAATATAACTTTGCAGGGTACATCAGTCTGGATTGGAAGTTGTTTTTTCTTGAAACACTTAACTCTAAGCACTGCTTTAACTATAGGGTTGTTGTGCGAAGTCTACTTGGATTCCGATAGGCTTTCCTTTGTAGGTGATCTAGCAGGTTTTGATATTCTGTTCTTGTGCTGAATTTCTGGAATCTTGATTATTATACGTGTTGGTGTAGTTTCATTTTAGTTATGGCTATTTGGAGTTATATATACTTCATTTATTTGTATGTAAAATTCTTTATTGACACTTGGGAAGTTTTCTACCATTATTTCTGTGAAGAGTTTTAGGTTTTTTAATGACACTTGTACTGTCTTCAGCTTTCTCATTGATCTTTGTCAATCTTATGTTATTTTTCTTTGCTTCATCTTGTAACTGTTGGATTGATTTTTCATAATCACTTGCTATTTTTAATATATCATTCTTTTCATCATAACTGTCTGCAATTCTGTCTTTAGGATCTGAAATTCTATCCTCTCCAATCTGCTGCATACACTTTCAGTGGAGGTTTTAATCTCTTGGATTTCTGTTTGGATCTGTTTCATAGATTCCATTTATTTCCTATGTTGGGTATTTTTTTGTCTCCATCATTTTTCTAAGTTCATCTATTTTTTTAACCTGTGTCTTCTCTAATATCTTTCATTTTGCTTCAGAAATTATTTTCTCTATAGCCCTTTCCACTTATTTTTTCACCTCTGTTGCTATCATTTCAGCACATTTCAGTGTTTAACTTCCAGTTTCATCCATCCATTGAGTTCCAGGCTTGTCCTGGGTGGGGTGGGGATCTAGGGTTGCATTTTCTTGTGTGTCTTGTCATTTTCCATTTTTTCTTTTTTGTTTTCCTTTGTTTTCTATGTGGATGCTTGCCAATTTCTTATTATTATAGCTTTATCAATAGTATTGAGGCTTCCTTGGGAGATGTCTGTCCTTTAGGGATGTCCTTTAGATATACATAGTTCATCATAACTATTCCCAATTTGTAAAGAATGTAAAATTTCTATTTGAGTTAGCTCCCAATCCTTTGGTACTGGGCTGTGGTAATGATTATGACCTCATACAGTCACAGTGTTATCATACAGGGGAGAGAAAATATTAGAAACATGTATGACATCCTGGCTAAAGTAGTACAGTTAGAGTTAGCAATAGTTTCAAGTACAGCTGTGGTTTCAGGTACAGTGTTCCTATGATAAGCTTTAACCTGCTAGTCAGGAGCAAACTCTAAGGTTAGATAGCACAATCAACCATACACCATACACCTCTTTGCAGTGATTTTCCCCTTAGTAAAATGATATTTCTCTTCTGTGTGGGGAGGCTAAGATACATAGGGGAAAGGCTAAAGTAATGAAGTCAGATACAGAAGAGTCAAGGCTAGAGATCAAAGGATTATCATTGACAAAGGGGCCACATAAGTTCACTTGAAGAACGACAGTCTGTTTAATAAATTGTGCTGGAAAAACTGGCTCTCCATATGCTGAAAATTAAACTAGACCCATACCTATCACCATATACTAAACTAAAATCTAAATGGATCAAAGATCTGAATATTAAAACAGAAACACTAAGTCTGTTGGAAAACAAATTAGGTAAAAATCTTGAAGACATAGGGGTAGGTAGAGAATTCACGAACAGGACTCAAACTGCATGTGAAATACTTCCCAGAATCAATAACTGAGATCATGTCTTATTAAAGAGTTTCTGCATGTCAAAAGAAATCTCCAGCACAGTGACAAGAAAACTCATAAACTGGGAGAAAATGTTAGGGAACTCTCCCTCAGACAAAGGACTTCTGTCTAAAACATATAAAGTTAAAAAAAACAGATGCCCAAAATTCAAAGAGCCAATTCAAAAATGGGCATCTGTGAATGAATGAGTGGGCATGAATACACAGTTCTCAGATGAAGAAATACAAATGGCAAATAAATACACGAAAAAATATTCACCATCATTAGTCATTAGAGAAATGCAAATTAAAACCACAGTGAGATCCCATCTCACTCCAGAAAAAATGGCCAGGATCAAGAAAACCACCAACAGCAAATGCTGGATAGGTTGCAGGGAGAAAGGAAGTCTCCTGCACTTTTGGTGGGAGTGTAGACTGGTGCAACCACCATGGAGGTCATTCTGGAGATTTCTCAAAAAGCTGGGATTGGAAGTCCCATTTGTTTCAGCTGTTCCACTTCTAGGCACATTCCCAGAAGAACTGAAAACATCATACCACAGTCATACATGTGCACCCATGTTTATAGCAGCATAATTTGTAATAGCCACATCTTGGAAACAACCTAAGTGTCAGTCAACTGAGGAATGGATAAAAAAGTTGTGGTATTTTTATACAATGGATACTACTCAGCTATAAAGAATGATCACATTGAGATATTTATAAGTAAATGGACAGAAGTTGAGACCATACTCATAAGCGAAATAAATCAAACTCATGTATAAATACCATATAGTCTCCCTAGTGCAAGAAATGGTAACAGTGCACAAGATTTGATGGTAATCATGATTATACATTACATTGTTTTGAAGCCCTATAATGTTTCCATTCATTAGTTGAATTTGTTTTATTCTGTTTTGTTTGATTATATTATCTGTGATGGTATGAACAGCTGTTTTGAAGAAAACAAGACATTATGAAAGCCATTGCTGATTTGATATCATCTTGCTTTGAGGTCCTACCATGCTTCTGTTCTTCAGTTTCCATTGGTCCTGTCATGTTGTATCTTATTGGATTTTAATATGTATGATAGTGTAAACAAATTTGTTATGGAAAATGATATAGTAGGCATTGTTCATTTTCTTTTATTTGGTTCTGAATGCCCTGTAACACTTTCATTGTCTTGAATGGTTTTTTACTATTTTGTTAAGTTTGATATTATTGTATGTGAAGGTATGTTCAACTTTTTCAAAGAAAGACACCCTATGGTAACTACTGTTCATATCGGGTTGTCTTGCAGTGAAGTACTGTGTTGCTTACATTGTTCTGCTCCGATCTGCTTAGTTATGTTCTCTTTTGTCTTAATAGCTTTAAAATGAAATTTAAAAAATAAAAAATAAGGATTATCACCATAGTTTTGGAAAACTAGAGGACACAGGAGGGAAAGAATGAAATAGAATGTAAAGGAGTAATCAATCAGAAAGGGCAGAGACGATGGTTACTCACTTGAAAATTTAAATTCAAGAGGTAGTTGAGGACAAAGAGAGAGGATCAATAGCAGAAAATTAAACAGTAAAGTCAGATTGGGAGGAGCCAACCAACAACCAACTAGCCAGCCTTTCTGTAAAATGTGCAAGCCACGTGGGGGCCCAGGAAGAGAGAGTATTCAGACAGCTCCTCCCATAAGCTTACTGGGCCAGGGGCTGAGAATCACCAACTGCCCCCTCCACTCTCCCTAAGCAACCAGATGTTTCAGAGGACAGACTGTGTTGACAGCAACTGAGGTACAAAACGCAACTGAATACTTCTACTGTTAGGGTGACCTTGCAGGTCTAGGGTCAGGGGTCTGAGCATTTATGGGGTTGAAAACAGTATGCAATATAGCAAGTATGGGGGATTTCCTTCATCTTGGTTTTGAAATCCAACATTGTTCTCACTAATTGTTTTGCTTAATTAAATATTCTATTTTGATTTAAAACCAATTAGCTTGATTTTGCTATATCTGATGGAATAGATGCTATTGTGCAGAAAACAATATATACTATGAGAGTCATTGTTGTTTTCATATCCTGCTTTGAAGTTCTGTACCATCTTCACTGCTTTGTTTTGATTGGATTTTTTCTGTTTTGTTTTATTGAGCTTTATTATCTTTGAAATACATTTTAAAAAGTTAAAAAAAGAAAAATAAGA